ACTTCAAATTACCATCACCCCACTCTATGTCATATTCCACTAGTTCCACAGTAATCAGCTCACCTTTGTTCTACCTTTGTGTCTATTTCTTTTACATCTTTGAAGCACTCTTCTGTCCCCCCCCCCCACTCTCGCCTTTTTTCACTTTGATGTTCCTCCTCCCCACTGTGAAGCCTGAAGTCAACTATAGGGCTAATGATAGCTATCATAACGCCTGCCATTTAATATAAATAAATAAATATTAAGTATAGTTAAAACATGATCTACAGAACCTAAGACAAAAGAGAGTAGAAGAAGACGGGTCATTTCTCTTATTGAAAATGTTAAAATCAGGGATATATGTGATTATTCGATAACTTCATTCATAGTAAATTAGTCCCACTTACTCTCCTAAAATTAGCAAACGCATAGGGCCATATTGGTTGAGATTGATCTCTACAGATATCACAAAAGGAGACCCATTTCAGACACCCCGTACAGGAATTCACATGAGTCATGGCGAATTTGTCAACAGCCGTCTGAATCACCTCCTCGAGAGCTCCATTTGGAGCATCCAACAGATCCTAGAGAAAAAAAAACCGCAACTACACTAGACCGCTGCTGTAAAGTGAATAAAATGGAATGAGCAGAGTAGCCTCACTCGAATGGAATACTTGTCAATATTGGCTACACTATCTAGCATATAACTTCGATGTTTGAGGAATTTGGTCATATTGTTGGAAGCTTCTCTCGAGCACCGTGAAATAAGGGACCACAAGAGGGAGAGGGTTCGTCTTAACCGTCGAAGGGAGGCCATTTCAGGCACACAGGTGAAAAGGGATGGATTGATCAGAGCAATATTTAATAGAGGGTAGGGAGCAACAGAATCAAGGAACTTTTTCGAGGCGAAAGACACGGGTTTGAGGGAGAAATCCCAGCATTCAATGACATCTCTAGGGATAACGGCTTCTTGTTCCTGGTGACAGTTGGAGCAGTAGAAGTTCCCATCGTAGAAGTCCAAGGTGGCATCATCTAAAGAATAGTAAATTCTACCTTTTTATAAGTCTAATCAAACATACCCCTTCTCTGAAAAGGATATATATATCAGGAGTACTATTATAGGTCTTGTGTATCAGAGGCTCTGGTTATTATATAAGAATAGCTGTGAAATGCGAAATGATCGTCAATTCGCGAAATAGTTGACGGCACTATATCATTCTCCAACTTACAATCAATCAATTTGTCAAATCAAAACGAACGCATAAACTTTTGGCAACTGAGCAATGTCGGCTGAATACATGCATTTAGATATGATTCGTCTACCTCTCCCAGTAAGAAATGAATGGGTTTCAGTTCGATTGATACAGTATAACTGACAGCACCTAGAAACCGTGAACCTTCAATATTACTAGGACTATTCCGCCCCAAAGGTAATAAATAGCCCAAGGAAAGAGGTGTGTGATTATTAGTGGAAATTGGAATTAATGGGAAAGTGAATTTACGCGCGAACACAACTGCGTTTAATTATACTACACATCCTAATGAATAGAAATCGATCAAAGTTGGAAATACAATCAGCGAGTTAACGGGAATCCACAAATAATAAATTCAGTGGATTACACAGCACAACGAAATGGCAAAACAGCCGCGGTGCTACACAAATTAATTAACCAAATAGGTCACCTTATCATCAAGCCGTGCCACATTCACGATGTGTGGTGTTCAGAATGACGAACATGATAAGCATACGAAGCAATGTAGGTGCTGATTCCGCTTTCTCAGTTAGCAGTATAACTGAATATCTATCAGAAGCCTCCTTTATCTACACTGTTTTTTTCGTAAACTGATTAGGAAATGAGGAAGAGCTTTTGCATTGGCCAAAGTAAACAACATCTTAAGTAAACAAGTTAAAGATGACCAATTTAGAGGCCATTTCATTTTCACACAAATTTTCTTTAAATGTGAAAGTTTTTAATCCTCTGCTCAAATCAGCTAGCAAATTCAACATTCTAAAAGAACAGAGCCAGCATTGCCAAAGTTCCCTTGAACACAGGAGATGGCTCGTTGTGCACTTAAGCCGTACTAAGGCGAGATGATAAGTGAATGTACCATAAGTAAGGAAAAGAAAGAAGTTTTGACCACTCGCCTTCTATGTGAGAATAACAGGCCTATTCACACGGCAAGGGTACCAGTATTTTAACTCGCCTGGAACGTACAAGCGAGTAATTGGAGTCAAGAGCTCAATGTTCGTAGTCAGCGATATGGACGATCGACCGCACTTGTTACTTGATAAAATACGAGTTTGTCATGAGGGCGAATCCAAAATGTCTCCCCCATTTACTCAACTCAAGTGGTGTCGGCACGCCTTAATTTGGCTTAGAGGTCTGTCTATACATTTGTAATCATCCTCTACCGAAATTTTGATTCCGATTAAAAGTACTCGAACTGTTTTGATGCGAACAGATGGCTTTAAATTATTTTCCAAAAGAGGAGCACTTAAAATCACGAAAAACAGGAAATAATTAGCGTAATTATGCAAAAAATGAAAAACGGGTAGGGGCGAAAAACTGACCCAAATAAACTGAAATAAAGTAACAAATAATAAATGTTCGCATTGATTACCTATTGAATCGATTAATTAAGTGGAAAAGGTTGTAATTTATGATAGAGAACAGTGGACAAGCTAACAAGTGGATGGCGAATCCAGGGCTATTAATTTATAATTCTGACATAGACACCAACTCTACAATTTAAATTAAGTTAAATATAATTGAAAGAGAACAGAGAACAACCTACCTTCGCACTAAACGGCGAACAAGACATGGACAAATTCAAAACTGGGTTGTCTCATCCATTGCATAGCTCTATATACTTTAGTGAAATATTAATTCATGCTCACTCCTGCAAGTGAAAGTCACTTTATTTGTACCAACAGATGCCTCCGAACATTCCCACTCCTAAGAAGCAAATTATGGAATTTCAAGAGCGGGGTGAGGGACAGGTACAGGACTTAAAAAAAGGCACACCATGAGGCCCGGCAACCAAGCAAGCTAACTGGAAGTGCACACGTCTGCAACCAAAGTGGACTATCGTGGAGGTTTATAAAGGCACTGTACATTATATTAAGCAATGCTCTGAATTCCTGTATGTAAAGTTATTATTATAAAGTACTCTCATCATCATCTGAAAGTTTGTTTACTTTTAAGGGAACAAGTAAGTAAGTGACGCTAACACTCAGCTGACAGTTAGCGATAAAATTAAAAGATAAAGCAATAACGAGTGGTATGAATGAATATGAGATAAACTGCTCAGAGTAGCACCAGGTTATCAGAATAGAAGAACTTAAACATTTCAATTATCTACATACAGTCACAAATAGCGGAGTTGTGGAATGGATGTAAAAAGTTGGATACAAATTTACTTGGTAAATAGTGTGCACATGAGGTGTACATAAAACAGCGAAATATGCGTGTGTCTAATAGTTTGGAGAGATGAGTCGGATAATTCCGAACTACGCCATCAAAATGAAAGCGGGGGTGGGGTGGGGTGGGGGGGAGTGGGGGGAGACTAAAAAGCGCAGAACAAATTTTTAATAAAGAGGATGCTCACCAAGAGTAAGTTGACTTCTGCACATAGTACATTCACCTCCGTATACTGAAGCAGCATGCGGAAATTCTTTCACGCCCGGAAATAAGCTTGCCAATCGTTTGGTATGCTAAAGATGAAACACCAAGCATAGACCTGACTGCAAGAAAATTCAGGAATACAATATGAACAGTTTAACAAATGAATTTGGAGAAAAGAAATGAGATGGTTTTTTAATTAATGCGGTTCGCGAGATAACACAACAACGAAACCTCGATCAGATTGGAATGCCTTCCCATCGTAAAAATAATAGAAAGAACAAGGAGGCAGAAGAACGGTATTTGAAATGAGAAGAAAAGTTATCTTTACTGATTGAAATATAAATTATAAGACGGGCTATAAATTGCTTACAATAAAAAGGATCACACATGATCATGAATGTGGATGAAACTTTGAGATTTAGCTACCATACACAACCCATTCATTAATGGTAGAAAAAGAATAAATTTGGCAACGTTAAAAGTGAATACGCTGTCAAGGTAAAATTAAGTTTCATAATCAAACGTACCCATTTAGGCCATGAAATCAATAAAATTTCAAAAACAAACAATAGAATATAAAGAGAAGGATATCACGAAGATTACCTACCTCATCGGGTATGTCAATTTTAAGGTCTTCGCCGATAAATTCCCAACCGTTATCTGAAGTAGTCTCGCCATTTTCAGACTAAACAATCAAATAAATAAAATTTCAATACTAGTAAGCACGTATCAAAAAAAACAAATGGACAATTACTTCAGTCTGATTTCCAATATCCAGAAGTGGAGATACTTTGGCATGACAATCGTTTAAAGATTTGTCCGCAGAACGATCCAAACAGAGCCAATGCTCTGAGTCTCCATTGGTTAATAAATTAGAACCAGGAGGAAAATCTGTCATTTTGCTCTAACTGTACAATAAAAGTTAATATGAAAAAAATTATTGATAAAATCAGAGCAAATTCTGTTCAAAATGACATAATTAAATATATAAATGTTAAATAATCATTTCAAAACCTTAGATTCCAAATTAAATTTAATATAGCATTTTCACATATATTCAATGCAGAAAATAATACCCAATAACGCTAACCTCGTGGAAGAGGATGGCCAGACTAATTTCTGATTGGTGATATTGAATTGGTACTTGTAATTTAATACAATCTAAATGTTAACTTCATTAAGGCAACGTTTTTCTAATTTAGATGGCCAAAAAATGTTAACTGATTTTCTATTAGTATTTATAACATAATTTCAATTAACGCTGTATGTTCTATATTTATTGGGCTTCAGCTGTAATAATTTATACTTAATAATCAATATCACCGTCATATTATTAAAAATCAATTTGAAAGATTTTAAAGCTCATTTAGAATATGTCTCAGAGCAAAATTAATGCTTGCATAAAATTTTTGCATATAACAGTCCCGTACTCAGTTAAATACATAAAAATTGAAGAGAGTCAAATTTAAGTTAAATAATATTTTTGAAGAGTGTTCTTTTTTGTGTCATATGAAAGTAAACCAAATCTTCTAGAACAAATTTCCGCTTTGGAGATCTTTTCCTTCCACCTTATTAATTCCCATCAAGTTTTGTTTTGAGCTTATCTGACTCCTACCAGAAAATAACAACATGAGTCATAAGTGTATATGCTAGAAAGAAATTCATTGGTTTATTAGTAGCATGTATGCATCCAACACGCTAATTAAGAATCTCATTCTCCTCTCCCCATATTCCTCATTTTAGTTCCACAACACAAAACATGATATTTTACTTTTAATTTGGTTTCATTTCCTTAGTTACTTCTATTAAATGATGATTAATTCTAGTTCAAACTTTGGAAATGATCAGTTGGTTTTCGATTAGAATTCAGCCTTATTATTTTAATTTCAGTTGTGCTTACATTGCCATTATGGCATCATCGAAATGCATGCCAACGCTCTTTTCCTAAATTCTCTATAATGACGCCATCAATCATCTAAATCATAAAATCTATAAGAGCCACTCGGGTAAGGGTATTTATAATCATATTCATAATGAGTCATAATATTTTAGAGAAATCGCAATGTGATTAAAAGATCTTGGAATTTCCTACAAAGTAAGTCAATCCTTTTTAATTTCCGTGTCATGAAAAAATGCTTCGCATATTAATTTCAAACCTCGCCCTATTCGTTTTATTTATATGCGCCAGTACAGGCAATGAAATTCGTATTCGCAACATCTAATTCCGTTTTTCGAATTTTAGATGTTATTAAGCATATTGAAAAGGAAGGCATAATTCTAAATTCAAATACTCTCTAAGAACCTCGCAAACGCCTTATAATTAAATTGTGAATATGAAGGCGACTGAGATGAAAGAGCACTAATTTACAAAAACTAAGGGACAATTTTTCTAGCAATCAATAAACGAAATACATGGATAAGCTGAATGGGTTAAATACTCTCTTAAAGGAACGGAGGTAAATGAATCTACAATTGAAAAAGAGACGCGGGACGAGGCGTAGATTAATTTTTAGTACGTATAGTACACTAATAAATCGGCACAACACTATCTGGCTAAGCCAAATAATCTCTTGCTCGCCAGAGCATTACGGAAAGAGCAGCACGCTACTTATCCCGTAGGTCTCATGTGCGGCCGTGATGCTAATTGCGTTAAGGGGCAAATGTGGTCATGAGTGTTGAAACCTCTCAGCCTATAAGCAATCAATAGTCATGGCATGGTCAACGAAGCCGAGATTACATTTGACGACTAAGCTCCGCGTATCAGTGACATACAACCCAAAACGAACTTATTTCAAGCCATACTTCTGTTTCCTCTATAGACTTGCAGTAGTTTAGCTAATCCCGGGAGCCATTCCAAAATAGGAGAAGTTGTCAAAGGGATAACTGAGACTAAATCAAGGCTTATTAGTGTATTAATCGGGCCCAAGTGTCTAAGCGACTGGAAATGTTCTTGTAGTACGCTCACATTATTTACTATCATCTTTTTATTAACAGTTTTCTAGCTTAAACCAAACAACTAGGACAATTCGTTTCGACTCCCAATTGCATCCATTATTCGCTCAATTTGCCACGCCAAATAGTTTTATTTCTCATGGATTTGGGTGTGAATTTGAGCAAACTTAGCAGTTTTATTTCTTAAAATTCTCCAGGATTAATTTTTTGCGCAAATTAACATTTCATTAATTTTGAATGTATCAAAATCCTTAATATGTTCTTATTTAGACTTTATTTTAAAAAATGCCTATGATCGAGTAAAACTTAAGAAACTGCAAAAGTTAAACATTTTAAGCATTGAGTCAACAGCACACATTCCGCCAAAAATTCCATCTCATGGTATCGAAATTTCAGAGGTATTTACATGGGTCATTGTACCATTCTTTCCTCTCTTAAACTGAAATTTTGCTGAAAAGATTAATTCGCTCGCTATATTGTGAGAGAATTTGATTAGAATCCACTTTATTGAAGAAGTGGTTTAGTAACCTGAGTCAGCCTTGGTCCGCCCTTGTGATAAATTCCTGAGCTGAGTGATTGTTTATCTTTCAGTTTACCTTAGTGATCACTATTCACTGTATTCCATTCAAACCCATCTCCTGCACACCTGCCTGCATTTATGCCAACGTTTGCAAATAATAGCATCTCAGCGGCCATTTTATCGAATTTGGTTGAAAATACCCTTAGATTTTCTCTGTGGAAGACATTTATTTTAGCTGAGGTTTCAGCTTTTAAAAATGCTCCAACATCAGTGTGTGTGTGTGTGTGTGTGTGTGTGTGTGATCTTAATTGGGGAAATTCCACTCACTGGAACTAGATCAGTGTAGGATATCGAGTTCCAGCGGAGATAAACAAATAACCAGTTGAAGGAAAAGCGCTTTACCTATAGTACGAATGGCCTTATGAACATCTTATCAGCCAATTTAAATCCAGTGTTTAAATAAATCGTCTTCTTTATTAGATGGGTCTCGTTAATGACCATTAACTTACAGTATAATTGCAAATTTATTTAATGGACCTTATTTAGATGATGATGATGATGGTAGTAAAATAAAAGGCTCCAAGACTAAATGACGCCAAGGTGACGTGAAATTGTGCCATTTGAGTGCTAATAAAGTAACACCATGAAACGATTGAAAGAGTTTTATTTAAACAAAAATGCGCAGAACCCTTCATTCAAGCTGAGTAGAGATCGCATTTTTCCAATTTCGTCATTTTTAACAAATTAGGAAATTACAAAAGATCGCCCACTGTAGAAATTTGCTTCCATTGCATTTGCACCACACAAATTTGAGATCAGTACTTAGTATTTATTTAATTTCAAATTTTTACATCACATTTAAACTGCTGTAACAGTCAAGATATCAATTATTTTGTGCATTAGGGTACAAAAGAAGTTGAAAAAAAGTCCTCCAAATTTCCCACACTTCAATTACCGCAATGCAGAGAGCGCGATCGACCTAACTCCACGTGGTGCACCCTGAGCAAAGTTAACTAATACGACAAAAAAGTCTATCAACTGGCAGTTGACTTCTGACTTCAAACTACCATCGCCCCACTGTATGTCATTTTTGACCACTTTCACAGTACTCACCTCACCTTACCTTTCTCTACCTCTGTATCTGTCTGCCTTTTTTACATATGTAAACCACTCTTCTGTCCCCCCCCCCCCCCCCACCTCTCGACCTTATGTAATTTCGATGCTCCAACCCTCTGTGAAACTCAAAGTCAACTAAAAAGGGCTAATGATGCCTATCATAAAGCCCGCCATTTGATATAAATAAATGACTGCATTATGCCATGGAGGGTAGTGAGTAGGTGAATGCTTATTATCTAGGAGACTATAGAGTCTAGCTGAGCTATCGCCCTTTCAACTTCTCTAGATTCACACCGCATAAGAAGATAGAGCCTTATTGATCACTGAGAAGTTGAGAGAAACAAGGGTTGTGCGCAAAAATGGAAGGAAGTGATTTGGGTATGTGTGTATGAGCATTGATGTTAACGTGGGGCAACAAGGCTCCTTTAGGTAAGGGAGAGTCACACTAACACAAAGGAGGTAGCCATTTTCCCTGAGTCTTGTTAACAATGATTTATTTATTTATATCAAATGGGAAGCGTTGTGAAAGTTATCATTAACCATTTAGTTGACTTCAGGCTTCACTCAGGGGAAGGAACATCAAAGTGAAACAAGTCGGGAGGGAGAGGGGGAACGGAAGAGAGCTTCAAAGATGTAAAAGAGACAGACACAAAGGTAGAAAAGAGGTGAAGTGAGTACTGTGGAGGTATTCGAATATGACATACAATGGGGTGATGGTAGTTTGAAGTGAAAAGTCAACTGCCAGTTGATAGACATTTTTGCCGTATGAGTATACGTTGCCCAGGGTGCACCACGTGGAGGTAAGTCTATCGCACACCCCCTTGTTAACAATGATATTCTCAAGAGATGTGGTACTGACTGAGTTTTGTTAAATCTTTGTGGGAGTTCGTTGCCATCTAGATAGATTGAGCGCAAATGAGACTCAACAAATTAAATATTGACTCAAAGGGGCAGCGTTAGGAAAAGATGAGGATACACAGCTTTCTGCTGTCTCCTGAACTTGATCCTCCTCTCACACCTCC